CCACTAAACATAACGTTGAAAATTAAAAAAAAGTCAGTGAAGCAATAGATATTGTGGGAATGGTGTTTCAGTATGGACACAGCCAAAGTTCACTCTCTACTCATTCTATTTGATTCGAAATTAATATTTGATTGATATTGGCTGATTAATGTAATCATGCGTTCTGCCGCACAATGCCTTCAAATATAAGCAATTTGAATATTACAAATAAACCTGTGGGGCAAATTAATAGTAAAGAGATTTGATTCACTTGATTATTCGATTTCATTTGGCTTGAGTTGCCTTGCAACGTGCTTGGCGGAGTAAATAATGGCATTTGTTGTTGCGGTAAGACCATAAAGGTGAACCAATCTGTATTCAGATGCATTTATTTTAGATGCACTTCTGTTACATGCGTAGCAATTGCTACAAACACCGTCCATACACGACCGCATGCATTTGCATTAAGACATACTAATTATTTTTGTGCAGTTGGTTTATGCAGGATTGTCAAGTGTTGCTGTACGTGTGTCGCAATTTAACTGCACTTGTGTTGTTAAATGGAAGGACTCTACTCAAAAGGACAACACATATTTGCAATGAGAAATACTTTCTTCCGCCACGTAATTTACAGCAAAACAAATACCTTTCTAATTTACTAACTTCATTATTTTAGTTATTATTCGATGTACATCTGTATAAAAAAGTTATAGTTTTGAATTAATTAAGCAACCTGAATTAACTCTTTCGCTGCGTTGTTTCTCTAGAACTCAATAACTTTTAAAAAAGCGCTTACATGAAAAATATCTGAACTGTATAGGTTTAGTTCAGTTGCCATAACTTGAGGCTACTATTAAACGCTACAATCTATAACCAAAAATAAAATAATAGCACTATAAATAAAATAGCTGAACGCTTTATGAAAATTGTTGATGCATATGGGTATTTGAAAAAATTACAGTTCCTATTAAAAATGGAATTGAAGGATGACATAAAGTCAGGCCAGACTTTCGGGTGGTGCGTGAAGAAGACTTAAGCGGTAGTTGATGCTTCTGGTTGGTAAAAACATTTTAAACGTTTCTCTCTTAATTACGATGTGGATGTGATATCAAAGATTCAGTCTCTATCTATTTCACCTAAATTGCTAAATTGTATTTAAAATGTGTCTTTACAAAATTAGTTTTAAACGTACAGTTGATGAATGTTTCAAATGCTAAGAAAGCGCTGGCGTGATTAGACCCAATTTGATATGTAATGAAGAAAGCGAAACTTTCTTTTCGATTTTTTGGACTCTGTTGCAATATTTTTTTTTGCCAACCTTTAACCATGAATACTTTTTGTAACCACATTGTTCGCCAGCAACACTGAAATCACCATTCAGCCACTATAAATGGTTTATTCATGACTGGAATGTTAGAGTTTATTAAGTATCTATTATAGATTTTTATGTGTTTTCTTAAAACAAACCACATAACAATCAGAAAGTGGGGTTCTACATTCAAGCTATTTTTAAAAGAATTGATAAAACGTTTTCAACTCTCTGTTTAATAGTCATTTACAAAACTTGTGATAACTTTACATATACAATATGAATAGACCAGACCATCTTTTTGATAAAAGAATGAGACATACTGTTTTTCACTATTTCCATTTGATGAAAAAAACATTAGCGGAGCAAACAAATTTTTTTCCTTTAATCTTGTTCTTAAAACCTCGGCTTAGAAGACCCTTGCTATAGGCTAGTTATTATAAAAAAGTGTCAACAACATAAAAATAGTGGGAGTGACTTCAAATGATCTTATTTCTAAAACTCATTATATTCAATTTGGTTTTCAAACTTAATTATAAAGAAAGAAACTGTTTTTAGAGGGAAATGTTTATTAAACAATTGTAGTAAATCATAACAACAAACTTCTTGTTTTTATTTAATTAAGTTTTTGGGTGACCATACAGCTGTTTCGAGTATTGCCAAATACCCATCATCAGTGTTTTTTTTTGGAAACACATCCTTTATTTAATTATTTGTAAATAATTTTTTAGAGTATAAGCCGAAAGGAATTGCACATTAGCCAATAATGAAACTATAATTTTTAATATGAAATTCGCTAGCGATAATAGCTAGATCTTCACTTTCTTATCGATTGCTGCTTTAGAAAAAACACTTGCATTAATATCCCTCCGCAATATTAATTTTTTCTAAAATCTTTACAACCTCAAAAAAGCATTTAATATTTCATCTATTACTGTTTTAGGCATCCTTGAAAAAAATAAGACTACATCGTAGGAAATAAAACACATCCTTTCGGAATATTAATTATTTCTAAATCTTCCGCAACCTCCAACGAGCGTTTAGCATCACGTTAAAATGGAAAACAAGTTTTGCAAAAAGTTGTGTAAATGTAAGAAGACAAATCATAGGTTTCAGAACTGATAATCTTGCAGATTATTCAGACTATTCTTACTTTATGTGTTCATACGCCTTGGGAGATATAACAATTTTATTACATTTTGTTTTAACGGACAAAGATGGATCTTTACTAATAAACTCATATAGATTTGCATCACTAAAGATATTTATCATGTATTGAACCTGTTATATACCACAACTATACAACGTGAATTGATAAATATCCGACCTAAGTAATAAAAACTCACTTTTTTTGGAAAACTATATTTTATGCTTCTTTTTAGACGCATTTTGAGTCGACACACTGAGTCCAACGATCTTTCAACATTTGGATATCTTCTGAATAATACAATTTATCAATTGCTTCAAAATATTCTTCAGTTTCCGTCCCATTTCATCATTTGATGCAAATCTTTTCCTCTGAAAATATTTTCTGAAGTTTGGAAACAGATAATAGTCACTGGGGGTCAAATCTGCAGAATACGGTGGGTGAGGAAGCAATTCGTGCCGTAATTCATTTAATTTTGCCATGCTTTTTATTGACATGTAAGCAGGTGCATTATCCTGCAAAAATAAAATTTCTTTTCTTGACAAAAGTGATAGTGTTTTCTTGATTCAATCGATCCCCATTCAATCGATCCAATGATATGTAATTATAGTCTGAAGATATTGTTTTTCTTTTCTCTATTGTGTTTCCCAAATGTATTAAAATAAAAAAACACAGTTGTTCTTTGTATTTTTGCTTATTTATTTATGTTGTTAAATTAGTCAGTACTTTTAAAAGAAAGGACTGGCTACTTGCGTGGTCCAAAGACAAGCTGACGATAATGACAATCAATGTGTTTTTTTATTTTTTGGAACACATATAATATGCTAAACAGCTGATTCGTTTCCATTGCATAACAGTAACAATTTCAGAAAAGTTGGATAAGTTTTGTGTAGACATTAATTAAAAGTAATTCAAATATTTTTATATATATCTATTGCTTTACATTATTCACTTAATCAATTCTTCATATACACTTGTGCTATTTTTAAGCCCTTCAAATATTTTTAAAAACTTGATCAAATTTTCAATATACGTTTATGTTATTTTTTTTAAGTCATTCAAATATTCTCTCATATATTTGTATTATTTACAATCTCTTTTCTTTTTAACAAGTGCAATTTAAAATTTATATTATCGCGAGTTGAATTAATAACTATAAACCAACTCGAGAACAGACCAACAGCGCTACTGAGCCCAACTGCTCTACAGAGCCCAACAGCTCTACAGAGCTCAGCTGCTCTACTGAACTTCTTTGTAGATTACTGCTTACTGTCTTTTAAACAAAACTTCTAAGAGTCTTACCTATGCTGGATGCCAATTACCTCAGTTTAATTGTTATTCAATAATTTTTGCATAATTCGCAAAAAAGTCAAGAATTTAAATTGCTCTCGATATTATTGCAACTTTTATTAAATGAAAACCAAAAATCAGCATATCCTACCCTCGAGCTGAGGAGCTGACCTTTGTTTTCTGCCATTGTGCAAGCCGCAAACGACGCTGCCTACTTTTAGACAAGCATTATGATTGAATAGAAATTAAGCAAACCAATACCATCCTTCGTAGTCTGAACAAAAATTTAAATTACTTTATGTTTTATTCTAGTTTAAACTTATAAACCGTTTTCCTGAACCTTTTCACTTACAACATCTCTCAATAGTTTATAACAATTATTCCGATTGTTGAATTCGTGGTCGTTTGAGAGCACTACTCCTGGATTTACACATTATCTCTTCCCTGGGCTTGTTGTTTTCCCACAAATATGAAGTAATGGATTCGTATTTCATAGCTTTAAATTAATTATCAATTGTGCGATAAAGAAATTGTGATTAATTTTGATTAAGTTAGAAATTCGAAGGAATTATCAAGATGTTAGAATCAATTGCACCATCCAACACACTGGAGGTGTTATAAAATCACGTCAACAGCTATTATTGCAGCGAGATCAGCAGGTTGGACAATTAAGAAATAGATCTCGTTGATTTAATAAAACTCACAACTTTAGTTAGAGGCAACTTTAACTAAAGTTAATATTTGCCTGTGGGATTCTAAGGAATTTTAACGTTTATATAAATTCAACTTAAATACAAATTGAGTACTTCTAATAAGAATAGAAGAAGCGTTCGGTTTTTCCTCCAAAGTTGTGTTTATTCGGTAATTTGTTTAAACTTATAAAAATATATATGTAATTTTTATATTAATTTATGTTATATGAAAGTTGATATCAATTTCTTTTTCTTCAGATATATCACAAGATTTTAGTAAAATAATAACGCTGATTATATCACAATAGTCATACACCATGTTGAACATTTCAAACACGCTTCAGTCATCCAGAATAGTTAAATCCATGACTTTTCGCACTACGAACCAGAAAGTTCTCTTGGAATAAATAAAAAATTCTGAATAATTCTGAATAATTCTGAATAACTGAATAATTATTGTATTCGAAATCCACAAAATTCAGTTTCATCCAATAAATAACATTTCAAATCAAGTCAACTTTGAGAAATTAAAAACACTTTTATATGTTATATGTCAAATATATAATAAACATTTCATTTAAAAATAAAACTTACAGGAGTGAGTTTCTCACTTCTGGGTCTAACTTTCGGTTTTATTTTCGAGACAATTCTTCAAAATTCTAAATTATTAACTACAGAATTTATAAACATTCCAGTTAGAAATCGTAAGAATAATTTCTTTCAGGTGATTTTCCTTAACTTTTAATTACAACCGCAAATTTTTATATGCAGAAAACTTATGCACAAAAATAAAACAGACGAAATGGAGTCGTCTCAATAATAAGAATACATTAATAAGTCAGTGAATATTAGATGTGACAGTACCGAAATAATTGTGACCATTTCAAGAAGGTGTTAGGAACTTTTGAATAAGTTAGATCTGATCAAGATGTAAGTAAAGAATAAAAAAACTAATCAAAATCCAATTGACCACTAAAAGACTTTCGAAGAATTTATTAAATAAAAACTAACTAATGAAATTCCAATTGACCAGTAGAAGACTTCCGAATAATTTATTAAATAATCTTTATTAAAAGTATGTAATTGTGCCTAATGAGGGAGGCCCAAGTCACCTTCCAATAGGAAAAGTGCCCAAAAGCAGTAAGTAAAAAAATTATGTTTTATTCAAATAATTTTTTTCATATTTTCATATTAGAGACTAAAGAAAAGCAAGAGAATATAGGAAACAAGGAGAAAATAGAAAATAATCATTGAAACTTTTTCTAATATAAATTTTATTGAAAACCCCATTATTCAAAAATTGTAGACCTGTGAGTACTTTTTTCTCGCTTACGATTTCTTTCTTTATAAATGAATAAAAATTGTTCGGTTTTTCTTCGAAATAGCGTCCCCAGTTACCCAGTAACTTCAAGATCTTCTGGTCAGCTATGTGAATCACGATAAGAAGTCTTCCACAGTGAGCGAA